CCAATGCTCCGCACACTGTCGATCCGGATGCAGTCGTTTCAATGCATTCTCGCGGAATGCGATACCTTCTTTATGGTCATGGAGGCCCCTCGATTGACCGCCATTCAGTTCATATTCAATTACCATCTCTGCCCGCAATCCATCGTGCACGATTTTCTCGTTGCCTTGAGGAAGCACCTGTCCATCACCTCCGTTGTCGTCCGATCCGATCTCACTGATGTAGGGGAAATTGACGAGGAAGATGGCCGCTCTCCGGAAAACGCATTGCACTGCACAACTATGCAGCCGCTGTTCTCGTTCCAGCATCTTACCACCTTCTGTTGGGAATGCATAGATGGGTTCGACATGGACGACGGGGACTTGGAGATGTTGGCGTCTGCCTGGCCATCTCTCACTGCGTTGGACCTTTCGTCCTCGTGCGGATGGACGGTCCCTTCGCGCATTACGCTCAAGGGAGTCGCAAAGCTAATACAGCTCTGCCCCGGCTTAGAGTCGCTAGGCCTTGTGATTGACGCTACGGTGGTGGATCCATTGGAATCTTACAGTGAACCGATAGTCCCCAATCACGCCCTCACTGCCATCAGTCTGGGGAGTTCACCTGTAGACGACGCGTCCGCAGTGGCCGCTGTCCTCGGGGCGATATTTCCATCTCTCTGCGCTCTTGACGCCTGGGGTGAATGGGCAGACTTTGAATTGTTTGATCCCCGGGCCGCGAAAGAGTTACGCCGACGGTGGAGTACGGTGGAGGCTCTTCTTAGTGAACGCGCCGCTACAGCCATGGAGACTTGAGTCTTGTATGGGTAGGTGAAGGAAGCGAAGTGGTGCCTTTCGATCGAGGGTTGTTCCGACCCCGTTTGTACCACTGACTAGAAAATCCGACTACTATTGAAACAATGTGTACAGTGTTCAACTAGCGCGTACACAAAAGAGAAGACTCCCACAGCACAGTCACATATCTTTTCAGAAGCTCATCCCGACCCATTCGTTCTCGATCTTTTTGGAGATGGGTCCGCGTCGCTCTCCCGCGTCCGCTCTTCACCAGTGCCTTCGGACATCTCGTATCCCGTTAGCACACCATCAAGTACCGTCCGGCTTACGGCCTGCCGCAGCTCTTCGTCTGGGTCACGGCCCTCGGCCTCAGCGCGAGCCATGATGTCCCCAACCGTCTGCATGAGTGAGGAAGTGAGCGTTTCCGAAGCGACGTTTTGTAAATGTTGAGAAGGCTGCGAATGGCTTGCTGTGCCGGCAGGAGGCGCCGTCGTCGCGGATGTCTGGGAGAGGGACTGGAGATAATTGGCAACGTCGGGGAACTCTTCCATTAAGTGTTCTATGGGCTGGTCGACTGGTCTTTAGTACGGTGGAAGTGCCTGACGCGTATAACGCGATGCATTTGCTCACCGATACGCCTTCGTTGTTTCTTCGGTCAACAACCGCACCATGCTCAACGAGATACCGTGCGGTGTCGATATTTTCAACGGTGTATAAAGGCGTGTCATTTTCGTCGTCTGTGACATTGATGTTCCCGCCTTGAAAAGCAATCAGACGCGATTGCCTCGAGATGCAAAGGGGGTACTCACCGTGTGCTAGCAGGTAATCAAGGACATGTAGCTGCCCATACGACGCAGCGGCGTGCCTAGCAATTGCATAGGCTTCAGCAGCTGACGTTCGCTAGATGCTATGAACGTACATTGGCGTGTAGGTGTACGGATCCGGTGCGTTTGGGGAGATCGCTGCAGTGAACGCAGGTCAGACTCGCATTTCGTCCATCCGGTGTATGCACTCAGGACTTGCACTGCTCTTCTACTAAAACCTAATGCATGAGATATAAATGCCGACTCTGTCGCTGGACCATCGACTTTGGGAGCACTCACTCGCACGCGGTCCAAGTCGCCGTCACCCGCTGCGATCCATATGTTCGATTCTGGTCGCATTCTAGTTGCTTCAAAAGGTATCGTCGACGGTTAACCAATAAGTACAGTATGAAGTTGGTATGAAGCTCCAAAATTTTAGGCGGTTTAGGTTTACAAGGCAATCAAGATCGGCAACATATGATAGACAGATAACCACGTGGAGACCTGGTTTGCCCAGGTTTGCCCCCGGGCAGCTCTTGGACAGCTCTAGCCTCTGTGCAGCCTCTTTCATCCTAACCACCACCACCGTTACCGTCCAACATAGCGCGAATGGCCGCTGCATATCTTCTGGGTCAGACAGTTATCTGGGGCCCCGCTGTCGCAGTGTTCGGCTGCATGGCATACAGCTTTGGCTCTGCAGGTATATCCGCGCTCGAAACACACGCTCGACGCACGGAGGAGCAACGAGCAGAGAGCACCGATTCAAAAACCGCAGGCCACAAACCCACCCGCTCTAGTGCATTCAAAGCAAGCCGCCTTACCCAAAGCACGTTCCTCATAGAAGAATACGACGATGCGTATTACGAGCACCCCTACATCTATGCCAAGCTGATCCCCGCTGCGAACACGGTGCTCCTACTGGACACTGGATGTGGCGGAGCATCGAAGAAAGCCGACGTCGAGGTGACGAAGCTGCGCGAGTTCATTGAGACTGTCGGGGTGCCGGATAACGGTGGGAAATCACTGAATGAAGCAGGGAAGATGGAATACGTCGTCGTACTGAGCCATTGCCATTACGACCACATATGTGCGTGCATCCAGTATGTCAGAGTCACGGAATTTGACACATTGGCGGACAAGCAGTGGGCGTCGAACAGTTTGCAAAAGACTCCACGGTCATCGCATCTGCATACTCCCCGTCCTTCATCTCCCCGTCCAATCTCCCAAACCATTCCCTATGCACCGATCTCGGGATTCACACACCATCCTACACGCCCACTCTTGTCCCGCACCTCCACCCGATCACATTGAAGAATGGTGTTTCCTCGGGTGTGACCGTCCTACACACGCCGGGTCACACGCCCGACGAGCTCGCGCTATGGGACGACGCCGAGCAGATGCTCTACGTAGGGGACACTCTCTACGAGCACGCTCCAATAATATTCCCTAGCGAAGGGTCCATCACAGAATGGTTACACACGGTCGATATGCTGCGTGATTTTGTGGCGGCACGCGCTCGCACGAAAGCAGACACAGTGCGCATTAATTGCGGCCATGCAACTGCTGCAAAGCCGGCCCTCGAGGTGCTGGTTGCAGCGAAGGGCTTCATCCTGGATGTTCTAGCCGGTAAAGAACCTGAACGAGGCCGCACGACGTCGCGAGGAGAGGTACGTGTGGAATATAAACAGAGAGGCGGCCGCTTCGCGTTGATATGCCCTGAGCGGCTGGTGTTGGAAGCAAGGAAAGCAAACGTTCGTACAAAGCTGTAACAGTGTCACTGTCTGTTTCCATCAAAGAATAGCATGGCGATACGCACTGCCATTTTCATTGTCCCTTCGAGGCGAGCATGTCCCGTTCCAGTTGTGCCAGAAAGGCGTCGGCGTCGTTAGTGTCTGTCTCTTTCGCCTTGCCCTTTCCTTTGGACGTCGATGCCTGCCGCTCCAGAGCAGCAAAGGGATCCGGGGGAGGCGCCGCAGCGCTGAATGGCGCAGATACTCCACTGTCTGGTGCATGCACAGCAGAGGCAGCAACATCCGCTCCCTTCACCTTTCGCCTCTTCGCGTCTACAGCCCTTCTTCTGTCCTCGAGTTCTCGCTTTCGTTTCTCCATCGCACGGGTCTTGATCGTGGTAGCATCGTCTTGCATGCCCTCCGCTTCGCCCGGCCGCACGTCCATCGCACCTGTCTCCTGCCGCGTCTTCTCCGTCTCCACACGCGCGGACTTGAGCTCCTCCATCTGCTGCCGTCGTGTCTCCTCGTCGCCGGAGAAGCGGTAGAAGCCGGCACCCTTCGCGCGCACCTCCTGCGTCGCGTCGTAGTGCACGCCGAGCGGGTTGTTCGCCTCGGAGTATTCTTGTTCGACTGCGGCGATGCGCTCTTCTGTGGGCTCGTAGACCGGGAAGTGGTTCACGGGATTGCCTGTGGGTGTGGTCAGTGGGTAGAGGGCGATAGTTGGACGGTTTGCGTACGAATCAAGATATCCCTGAGGAAGGGAAAGGATTAGATATGGACAGTAGGATAGAAGTGGTAGATACGCACTCATCCTCGTCAACTTCGTCAGCGGCTCGAGGCATAAGTTCGCGAGGTATCTCAGACCGCCTGCCACTGCGCAATCTTCCAAACTCGTCCTCGTATTCGATGATAGGATCGTCCTGAAATTAGATGTTAGAATCGGTGGCGAGATACATGATCATAACCGAGCGCACCTCATCGTCTTCTGGACGGCTGGGCACCGTGGCAGACTCGTCGACATCGTCACTGTCCGACTCATAACCCCCGTCAGCCAGCTTGGCATCGAACTGTACGGCACAGTACGTTGGTTAATACAGACTGTTGGCAAAAGAATATCTATTGCTTACATCGACCAGCAGCAGATCATACTGCTTGTCGTCCAACCCCCCGCTCTTCCCCTTCCGCAGTTTATCGTATATCTTCGCCTTTCGCTCAAGTGCTGCACGCGCGGACTCCAGCGTCGGTTTGCTGACTGCTTCGAGCTCATTGTCTCGCGCCGCACGCGCATGGACGCCGCGATTCTGGCGGATCCATACTGTCGTCTTCTGCGCAAGGTCTTAGCACCAGTCTGCATACTCAGAGTATGAGAGGTGTGTGACATACCTTCTCGGGTCGCTTGACACCACCGACGATGGCTGAGCTTTGGCCTGCGGCTTTGCTCTTCGCGAACTCCTCCTGCTGCTTTGCGACCTCGGCTTTGAGATCGAAGAAAGAGCTGGCGCTGATTCCGGCTGCCTTGGCTTTGTTCTTTGGGGCCATCGTTTGTCCAGAGAAACCGAAGAGAAACAACTCGGAAACACGAGTAGAAATCGAGCTGGAGAGAGACGCAAGGGAAGCTTGCAATTACGGCGGGTCGAGCAAGTCTGCCCTCAACCACGCTTGTGCATATTCTGGTTACCCTTTGCCCTCCTATTCACAAGCATTAATGGGGTAGTGGTAACCTTGGTCGTTGCCATTAGCACATTCGACCAGCCGGGGGTTCAATTCCCCCTTAATGCAGTTATTTTTGCACCACTTTGCTGAAGCCTATGTACTTGTTTTCTTCCGTATGCTCGCTCTCGTGCCTTTCTTGAAGCCGCCGTGTTTCTCACCAGAACCAAGCCCTGCACTCAGCTGCCATATATTTTTCTATATGGACATAATCGAGGAGACCCCCAGACGCGAGCTGCCCAGCACCCGAGCGGCCGAGTCTCAAGTATGTACAATATTTACGGCCATGTGATTCTGTACAAGGCAGCATATATGCTCCGGCTGACCTGACACTCTCACTTTGCTCTCACCACCACCGCCATGTCCAGTTTTAAAGACCCCAACGCCTTCGCCGACCCAGAGGACTCCCAGCTCGTTGCAGATGCCAAGAAGGTCACCATCGACCCCGTCGACTACAGCTACAGCGAGCGCGACGTGATACTGTATAACCTCGGTATTGGTGCGACCGAGAAGGAACTCCAGTGGACGTATGAGGGGCACGACCAGTTCTCGGCCCTCCCGACATTCGGTGTCGTCCCACAGTTTCACGCTAGCGGGAGCGTCCCGCTCGACTGGCTGCCGAATTTCAACCCAGTGAGTCTCGCGTGTGGTGTATAAGTAACTGGAATGTAGCACTAATTGGCACATGTGTCTGTAGGCCAAGCTACTCCACGGAGAGCAATACCTTTCTATCAAAGGACCCATACCTACTGAGGCGGATCTTGTGAGCGAAGCAAAGTACGCTGCCGCATTGTTGCGTGGCCCTGCATGTATTGACTGCCAGTCAGACTTGTAGAGGTCCTTGACAAAGGAAAGGCAGCAGCCGTCACGTCCGTCGTAGAGACGCGGGATAAGCGTACCGGAAACCTCGTCTTCGAAAACCAGTCCACTGTCTTTATTCGTGGTTCTGGAGGTTTCGGCGGCAAGCGCGTCGGAAGAGGTAGATAGCGTCTATACCTCACCAGGGTACACGTCTCTGATGCAAGCTGTGTTTGTAGATCGTGGTGCTGCCTCGGCAGCTAACACACCTCCTAAACGCGCCCCCGACGCTGTTGTCGAGGAGAAGACAACGGAAACCCAAGCTGCTCTATATCGGTCCGTCATAGTTTTGCTCTTGCATCTGCCACTGGCTCAACTCGCGTCGTTCTCTTAAGGTTGAGTGGAGACTGGAACCCACTCCACGTGAGTGAAACATTTCTCTTAAATCGCGTACGGCACTAATACCAGTGCACCTATAGATCCTCCCGGAATTTGCGGCTATAGGAGGATTTGACAAGCCCATCCTCCATGGTAGGCTTAACACGCCCTCAAACCTTGTCACTAAATTTAATTGTCCTTGTTGCTGTATTTGCTGCTAGGTCTCTGCTTCTTTGGTATCGCAGGGAAGCACGTCTTGAAAACCTACGGGGAATTCAAGGACATCAAAGTCCGGTACGTCTACATGTCTTCAGAGTATCCGCGTATGCTATGCTTACATGTTTCTGGCATCTAGCTTCGCCGGCGTTGTATACCCCGGCGAAACGATCGTCACAGAAATGTGGAAAGAGGGCGACAAGGTCATCTTCAGTAAGTTCTGTCTTCATCACGCATCTCAGAATGAAGCTGTATACTAATCTACGCTATCTCTCTTCTACAGCATCGAAGACGAAGGAACGTGGGGCTGTTGTGCTAGCGGCTGCCGCAGCAACACTGGACTCTTCCCCGAAATCTAAGCTTTAGTCCACTTACTTGTACTCAGTACTTAGTACCCACACATCAATGGAACAAATGTACACGCAACCTAATAATCCACCTGAAAAATAATGTACATGCATGGCCTTAGATGGCAAACTAAATGTGAGGACAGGCAAAATGTATATGAGAGCAACACTAGGGCATGGCAATATTAGAAGAATATATCCAATACCCGTGAAGACGGTAGAGAAAGACAAGACAAAACAAGAATGCGTGCGGTAAGGTACTTGGTATCTGGCAGATAGAGCAAACGAGCGTGGTGGATAGATATGTGACAGTCCGGTGGGTGGTGCGGTTATGTTACGACCTGGTTTTGCGCGGCGGCACTAAAGACGTGGTGATCCTCCTGATGGTATCCTTCTCCGCCTCGATGTGCTGCGCCAGCAGCCCATCAAGCTTGCGCACAGACTCGTCTGGCGGGCCGCGTTTCTGCACTGGCGGCGGCGGCGGCGGCCCACCCGCTGTAGCCGGCCGCGAAAATACGTCCATGCCGAACGCGCGCTGCGGCGCAGGCTCCGTGCTCGACGAATGCCGCCCGGGCACGCGCATCGTGTGCTGGTACAGCTCCACCCCGCTCACAATCGGCTCGATCTTCCGCGCCTTCTTGCTGCTGCTCGAGAAGAAGCGCGGCCGCGGGCGGTCCGGGATGTTCGCGATGGGCTTTTTGCGCTCGGCCGCCTCGTGCGGCGGGAGGGGCGGCACGCGGTGGGGCGAGAGCGTGTCTGCGGACGGCCGCGCGACGTGGGGCGTGGAGTGGTTGCGCAGCCGCATGAGGGAGGGCCGCGACGACGATGACGCGATGGACGGGCGGGTGGAGACTGCCGGCGAATGCGGCTCTGCGAACAAGTCCGTCGCTGACCCCCCATAGCGCCGCAAGTCAAGGGTGCTGCCGGCGAAGCTGCGCTCGTCTTCACTGCTGGACGACTCATCGAGGTCATCCATAGCGTTCGGGTGGGACTGAATAGTGTCGAAGAAATCTGTGGGCGACGCAGAACGCGATGCAGTGCGGAGGCCGGCCGATAGACTGAGCCCAATTGACGTGCGATCGGGAAACTCGGATGTTGAAAATGGTGGTGTAGTCGGTGAAGGAGCGCGTATATGCAGTCCGGGTGCATCTGGTGAGCGGGGCGATAATGGCGGCGAGGCTGATGCGGGGAAGTTGTGTTTCAAAGACGATGACCGCGGTGGAGGCTCGATTGTAGACAGTGCTCCTAGTGATGGTGTTTTAGAGTTGGAGGAAACTGTCCGCCCTCGCGCAGGAGGACCGGAAGCACTCGCAGAAGACAACAAGCTGACGGAGCTGTGCTGCGAGTTATATGCAGGCACAGTAGACCACGCGTCCTGAAACGCGGAAGTGGAGGGAGATTGTTGAGAGTAAAATGACGTGGGCGGACGGGTGTGCACCGTTGACGCCTGTGAATTCATCGTCGAGACCCTCGACCTCGGGTCATGAACGTCCACTAGGAAATCTCCACTCTCCCGGCCCGAATACTGAGAATAAACAGAAATACTGTCTTTTCTGTCGTACTTTGGGAAAGACAACGCGCTGTCATGAGGGTTAAGACTGATAGCAGGGGACTCGGATACATTGACAGTCGGCATCGATGGTGGCGGCGGTGATATACTTGTCGGAGAGAGTGTCGTCGAGTACGAGACCTCCTTTTCGTAGGATTCTACTAACATGGGAGAAGACAACGACCTGCGCACAATTTTCGATCTGGGCAAAGGCTCAGGCGAGGCGGACCGTCGGCTGCTCGGGAGATCTGTCTGAGACAACGAATACAGTGGATTCACCAGGGATTTGTTTCGAGGCGCCGGCGTGAGAGGTGTCAATGCTGTCGGGCTCTCCGATCTCGCTGGCAGGTAGCTGGCTCGTGAGACTGGGTGATTGCTGGGCGACGCTTTCCGTCTATGCGTCCGCGACTGCTTGGGACGCGCGGAACCAGTCAAGTGTCCAGATGAGCTGTGCTCGTGCTCAGATGGTGTCGCCAGTATCTTCTTGTCCAGGACAGGTTTCAAGCGCACGACCTGGACGGATGGAGAGGACGGAGGTGACGTAAAAGAAGATTCGGCAGCAGAACCACTGCTTAAAGAGAAGCCGACAGCTTCGTGCAGAAGCGCTTTCCGCCAGGCATCGTCGTTAGGGTTCAGCGACACGCTGTTCGGGGAGTTTGGAGGAAGACAGTCGGCGAGCAAAGCAGCGCCGACCGAGTCCTCCACCCCGAAACCGTGGGCGGCGGACGCTTGAACAGCGAAGGGGTATCCAGCCGGTGGTGGAGGCACGTCCACAGCATCCGTCGGGTCGACAATGTCTATGTCTTGCACTCGAGGCGTGCTGTTCAGATTGTCTCTTCGCGCATCCCGCGCCTTCATGTCCCGTTCAGCCTGCTGAACAGCGCCAAAGAGATCGTCCATTTTCTCTCGCACAACTACAACCCGCTGGGGGTTGTGTCTCAGCGTCGGCGCTGGGGTGTGGGGTGCAGATCGGGCATGAGGACGCCTAACATATCCCGAGGCTGTCGTTGAGTCGGACGTCGTCCTAAGGACGGGAGTCAGGTGGTTTGGGGACTCTGACGGTTCGGGCGTCGTCGCCTTAGATCTCGACTTGCCGACACGAAATAAATCCAGGAAAGACGATGGCGGGGCCTTTCGCGTGCCGGGTGAAGGGGGGAAATCGGATGGTGACGGCTTTGAGTGCGCCGGGGGCAGAAAGTAGTTGTTTTTCACCAGCAGACGGAGGCGGTATGAGACGTCGTCGGTGTCGGTGTCGGTGTCATAGTCCGCATCAGGGTCAAATGAGGAAACGTTGTCGTCGTCGTCAAACAGATGTGGGGACGGCGGGAACTCCGAACTAGACATTGTGGAGGTGGAGGTGGAAGGAGGGTAGATGGACGACGACGCGGATGTCTGTTGGGTCAATACCGAGTCCCGGGGGTTGGAGTATGGAGAAACCGGACTGAAAGAGGAGGGAGGAGCGCGCTCTGACCGACCCGATGCAAGTCGGGGCAAAGAGGCACCGCGTATCGCAGCTTTCGACTGGAAAGGAAAGGCGGTGGTCAGAGTTATAATGCTAAGGGATGAGAAACGAGGCACGTACAATGAAAGTCCTCCCAGCTCTATTCGGCTCCTCCGCGCGGGAAATAGTTTGAGCATCCTCCGTCTCCGGCCCTGCTTTTGTATCCAGCACCTCGTTGTTTGCCAAAATCCTATTTGGAGAACGCTCCGGTCGTTTGGGGGGACCACTGACGGAAATAATGTCCAAATGAATGGGCATATCCACAGGTGTCCTCATATGT